CACATGCAAGCAAGCACCGAGAGGAGGGCGATGAAGCAATGGATGGCACACCACATGGTTATATAGGCAAGAGCCGGAGACTTAAGGAGGCATGGGCGCCTCTGCCACCACTGGGTGCAAGGAGCTCATTAGTGGCAATGGGGCCCAACCTAAGCATCTCTCGCACGCATGGATGCATGTGAGAGTACAAATGACCATGCATGTTCCTCGAAGTGGGAGCTATTTTTCATCTAGGGCCTCGTTTAGTTCCGCCCGAATACAAAGGTCGTTTTGTTTTTATTTGGTAATAATTGTCTAATTGTTGACTAATTAGGCTCAAAACGTTAAATCTCGCAAAGTACAACCAAATCGCGTGCAATTAGTTTTTGATTTCGTCAACATTTAGTACTCCATGCATGTACCGCAAATTTGATGTGACGGAAATCTTCTTTTTGCATAGTGTCGAATTTTGGAATCGAAGGGAACTAAACGCGCCTAGGAGAGACACTAAATCGTCCACCTACTTTTGACATACGTGGCGCATGTGAAGTTTTTTAATCGAGTTCTTATGTCTCAAGCAACACTCTGCAAGTTCTTTATGTGCAAGTACAAATGTCCACCGTCCATGCATGGTCCCGAAGTGGCGAATTGTTTTTGGATAGAGAATGTGCGCCATCCATACATGGAGAGTAGTAAGGACGAGAGGCATTAAATGTGTCCACCGCTTTCGAGCTAGCGGGTTTCAAATTTATCGAGTGAATTTTTGCATGTAAATACCTTTTGTTCATTTATCTCGTCCACTTGCTTACCGATAGTAAACTCTTGTATATAAAGAGAATAAGGCATTACATGTGTTGCTAATACTATGGTTCTCGGATGTGGCGTCGTGTCTCCAAATTTCTTCGGTAGTGAATTTCTGTATGTAAATACCGTTGTCCATTGATCTATCCACATGTGTTGTTAATACTATGGTCCCGGGCGTGGCGATACGTTTTCAAATTTATCGAGTGAAGTTACGCATGTGAATACCTTCATTCATTTATGTATGCACTTATTTACCGATAGTAAATTCTTGTATGTAAAGAGAAAAAGCTGATAGTCAATTCTTGTATGTAATGGGAAAAGGGCATTGCATGTTCTGGACGTGGTGTCCTATTTTCAAATTTACTGGCATGTAAATACCTATTCATTTATCTGTCCACTTGCTCCATTCAATGTCAGTGGCCGGTGGACGGTGGGGGTAGAAATTAGTGACATGACCGCTTAGAGTCTAGTAGATGGCTTCAGGACATGATGTTCATTTATTCACCTGCTGCATTCAATGTGCATGCACCAACTTGGTTGAGTTGGTTCTGCATGGATGGATAACATGGTGATGCATCTAGGCCGTGCAGTTTTTATCCAACGTACCACTCAAATGAAACTTACGTGGACACGCTGGGAGGCCGCCGATTCAGCGTGCCTTCATATCTTTAATTACATTGAAAAAAAAGGCATTTGAAATTATTGAGCCGGTGCGGCGAAGCCGTCACGCATTGCGTCACGGGCCAGCAGGGATCGTGCACGCTAAATGTCGTTGCGCTCACACGGGGACGGCGGACGGGGACGAGCAGATGACGGAAGCGCTTGCGTAACAACTCTTGTCCTGCATTTATGGCTGTATATGGCCCGTTCGCTGGTCTGAATTTTGACTAAAATTGACTGAAAAATACTATTCTGATTGAAAAAATAAGTCGAACAAGCCAAATTTAAGACAAGCGAACGAGGCCTATATCTGGTGCTGATCTGCACAGGCACTTGGTGCTTTCTTTTCAGCGAGCAGAGCTCAGCTCACCCACTGTTAAAAAAAACATTTTCTTTTCCACACCGCTCCCGCTTGTTAGGGATGTAAACACATCGTATGCTAACGGATATAACTGATATTATATTTTTTTATATTTTTGTCTAGATTTGGATTCGAACGTGGATAGTGTTAGGAAAATGATTGGATATCGATATTACAAATATGCAATTTGAGTATTCGGATATGGATACGGGATCGGATGTTGATATCACCACTCATGGCAGATAAGGATGGATCCGGATCAGTTCTGCATGGAATCAAATACGCATAATATTATTTACCACATTTTAATTCAATTCTGGATATGGATACGGATATTATTGGATACAAATACAAAATGAATGTGTTAAATTCGGATTCGCATTTAGATATCTACTAGATTTTGAGAACAACATATATCTATTTGCTTATCGATTATTTTAGTAGAACCAAATCATTATGCGTATAGGGAATACGATTATATAACACCTATAGATAATGACAACTTTATAAAATAATAATATATATAATAAATATTTTATTATTAAATATATAAAAATTAATAAAAATTACCAACAAATATTAATTAATCCATAAATATTTTAAAATATATAAAAATAAGTTTATCGATATATGATAACTAAAGTACTTAAAATTAATATGATTAGCCATATTAGAATTAATTAAAATTAACCTTTATATATAATAATAAAATTAATATAATGTTATTGGCCATAGAGATAAGTTTTAAATAGTTTAAAAGATGCATATCATTTGCTATATTAAAATTGATATAATTTACATTACTAGTTAGTTATAAAAAAAAATTTGGTAGGCTCTAAATATGATCTCTAATAGTAACCATTGGATTTATTCTCTTATATAAAAAATTACCCTCCACACTATGAAAAATACATAAGTAAACCCTAAATTTGTATCAAAATTATGCACCTCTGCCACTATGAAAGATAATTTAAAATAATCCCCCTCAATTTGTATATAAATTACTAATTTTTTTCATTATAAAAGATAATTTAAAATAATTCCTAAATATACATCAAAATTACTTTCCTCTGCCATTGTAATAGTAATTCAAACTAACTAACCCCTTATTTATATCTAAATTACCCACGTGTACCATTACAAAAGATAATGTAAATTATCCCAAGTTTGCATTCAATTTTTCTACATGTCCCATCATGAAAGATAATATATTAATTTGTATCTAAATTAACCATGTCACCCATTACAAAAATTAAACAAAAGTATCTCTCAAATCCACGTGTAAATACAAAAACTAATTCCATATCCATATTGTATATATTATATATATTTCTAAACCTCACACTTCTAGCACTATTAAGTTAAAAGCAAACATAATGCTATGTTTCACCATATAAACCAATTAAACATCTATACCGTAGAATAACTATTTATTTCGATAGCTTATCAAGTGTGGAAAATATTCCATTAACAAACTGTATAGCAATGACACACTAGCAATTCACTTTAAGTTCTACTAATACTCCATGATAATAAATTTTCTAAGGTGGTATTTTAAATAAGTTACAGATGCTCCAAGATGCAATACGTGCTGAACATAAAAGACACGAAAGGACACCGACTATTCATCGTCGATGAATGAAAAAACATATATAAAAAGGTCCAATGCTACGACACTCTTGGGCTCCCATGAATCAAAGCCCAAAAGCCCGTTGGACCAACAGCCATAGGCGAATCCTTCAGCTAACATCATATTGCTCTTAGCCTGATCTGGGCACCATGCATCGGACGCAGCATTACAACTTGGCGCGGAGCATGAGTATACGTCGGCGCGAGCTCAAACTGAAAGCGCTGAAGGATCATGCTCAGCGCCATCTTAGCCTCTAGAAGAGCAAAGTTCTGGCCGATGCAAATCCGCGGCCCCCAGCCGAACGGGAAGAACGCTAGCCGATCCTTGGACGCCTTGGCGATCCCCTCGGCAAACCTCTCTGGCCTGAACTCGTGCACATCACTTCCCCAGATGTCGGCGTCGTGGTGGATGAACATCACGGGGAGCTCCACGATCACGCCGGCAGGGTATGTGACATCTCCGATCACCATCTCCTTGTACGTTTTCCTGTTGAACGCGATGGCCGGCGGGTACAGCCGGAGAACCTCGTAGAGAATCATGGTCACCTGCACAATGAATCGGAAAGAGTTAGTGGTTTGGCTGCATTTGCACATATATAAATGAGATAGGGAAATCAACAGGAGTGCTCACTGTTTTGAGGCGACTGAGGCCGTCGTATCCCGGTTGGTTCTTATTCCCAAACAGGGCAAGGACTTCCTCCCTTGCACGGTCCTGCCATTCTGGGTGCATGCTTAGTAGGATCATTGTCCATGTAAGCAGCACTGATGTCGTCTCCATTCCTGCAAAGTAGAACAGCTTACACTCCTCCATGACATCTTCAATCGTCATTCCTTGGCTGGACTGGCCGTTCTCGCCTGTCTCTCTCATGTTTGACTCCAGCAGTAAGCCCAGTAAGTCATCTTTGGCGCTTTCACCTTCTTTCATAGCTTGCATTCTTTTACCAATTAGACCCCGAAGAATTGACTCGATCTCGTTTTTAATTTGGCGCATCCTTCGATTGTTTTTGGTAGGCAAGGACCTGAAAATGTCATTTCCCATGCATCACTAATAGAGTAGTAGTTTTTTTTTAGATAAAGGAATCACTAATAAAGTACTAATGGGGCGAAAGAAGATGAACCTGATGCATCTAATTTCAGTTTATGTAAATTTAGCAAGGACATACAGAAGATTTTTGAAGTATATGAAAACTCACATGTATCCAGGAACGGCAAACTTCTCCACGATGGACATGAGGCGCTCTGCTTGTTCGGCCTGTAGCTGGAAAATCTTTCTTCCTTCAAGGTAGCTGCTGCCGAATGCGGTGCGGGAGATGACATCTCCGGTGAGGATCTGAAGCTCCGGGTCGACGTCCAGCTCGCACGAGCCGTCAGAGCCAAGTGACTGCGCCCATCGGCTGACAAGCTCTTCACAGCACGCAGAAAACGCCGGCAGCATGACCTGCAAGGTTGTCCACACTCACATGATCAATCACAAACTCGATCGAAGCGAACAATAGTACAAAACGCAATAGTATAAGAAAGATCGCAGCCTCGCAGGCAACAAATTAAACGATACAGTTTTGTATACCTTGATCTTCTCGAGGTGAAACGCAGGGTTGAGGATCCTCCTGTGCTTGACCCACTTCTCGCCCTCGTAGTTGGCTACTCCATCGGCGAGCAGCTTGGAAAACGCCTGGAACTTGGGCTTCTCGAAGTGGCCGAACTTGTTCGACATCACGTCCCTTGCCAGGTCCGGGTCGGTGACGGTCACTCTGGGGATCGGGCCGAACCACGAGAAGCACGTCTTGCCGTGTTCTCGGACGGCGCCGTAGACAAACGGCGAGACATGGCCGGCGATGTCGTGGCACCGCAGCGGCAAGGGCCTGGACGCGGCGTCCTTGTTGAACCGGCGGTACTCCTTGAGGTCACCGGTGAGGAAGCGGTACGACGTGCCCCGAAGGCCCTGCGCGCGCAGCGCCCGCTCGAGCCGCCGCGGCTCCCACCACAGCTGCTCGAGCAGCCGGGCGGCCTTCCACAGGAGCAGAGCGCCCAGGAGACCGTAGATGAGGAGGCTCCAGTGCATCAAGGCGACTGCACTCGCCAACGCTCCAAGAACCATTTTGCCCAACTCTTAAGTGAAACTGGAGAAGGCTGAGCTAGTGATCGCTAAAACTGGCGCCAGAGGGTTGCTCCTCTTATAAACAGTGGTCACTGCCTCACTGAGTCACTGGCTTTGGTTGGTCCATTATTTTGTATAAGATTCGTCGTGGGCTTTTCTGGTCAGTCATGCGGCAGACCATACCTCGCTCGTAAGGAGCTTGGCAGTGAAGATATTCCGATGGAGATCGGATTGGTATTGGTCAAAGCCACTCGAAGGTGTACCGTGCTTCCTTGTTGCTTCATAAGTGTCGACGCAGGATGGGCACCCACCACGTGATGACTGTGCCTGCTTCCCTGTGGTTTCGTTTCGTTTCCGTGAAATCGGATAGCATTTTTGGGGAACCATCGGTTTTACTATCCCAATCAACCGTATGGCCAGTTGACCAGGATCTTGCAATCCATCCGTCCATCGTGCTGGGCACTGTTAACATATGGAGAAATTTTGCTAAAGGACACGAAAAGTGATGTCAAACGATAAGCACGACAGCAAAAGAAAGGTTCATTTGATCGGTGGATACACTAGAAGACACCGAGATATTAGAACAATATTTTCCTAGTTGAACATTCGAAAGACAAAGACAATAAAGTTTTGCTTTCGCTCCTCATACTTTCGTCTTCCTCCAGCCCTTTCTTGGGTTCTTTTGGAATGTAGTAATTTTGTAGAAATTATACAGAAATTTTACAAGAATTAGTTCATTTTTATAATAAAACGTAGGAAATAGAAAAATTCCCATCAATCTAAAGGGGCTGTTATGCTTTTTATGTGCCGCCACGCAGGTCCTTATGCAGACAATCCCTATGCCGAAATACATCATCCTGCAGCCCCTTAGTGTTGCACCTCCTTCATTGCCAGCCACCCGCTCTCTTTTCGCCACTTCCATGCCACCCAAGATGGCCAGAGCTCCTCACACTAGTACACAGATGAGCTTCAATCTCGGTTGAGAACTAGGTTTTAGTCCTGGTTTTTCAACCGGAATTGCGGATCCGGGACCAAAGGCTGGGACCAACCGGGACTAAAGCCCATCATCGGAACTAAAAAATAGTTTAAATTCTGGGAGACCGCTCTTGTAGTGCGTGATATTCGAACCCAAGACCCCTTGGCTCGCGCGACGCTCTCCTTTTGAATTCACTCGTGAGAGACCTTTAATCCGAATTTGTGACACCAACCCGGACTAAAATGTCACCCTTTAGTCCCGGTTGATGTTACCAACCGGGATAAAATGACCTTTGGTGCATGTAAAATTTAGACCCGGGACTAATGCTCACATTAGTCCCGGATCCCAACACAACCGAGACTAAAAGTGTGAACCGAAAGTCGTTTCTCTACTAGTGTCAATGATCACTACTACAAAAACGATTTTCATGCAGAGAGCCATCTCTACATTGTATCTTGCCAAACAAGCCACCTCTGAAGATGGTTTATAGAGACAGCTCCAACCCTAGCCGCCTCTACAAAATGACCTTCAAATGGCGATGTTGTATGCGGCCATCTCTAAAAATAGGGGATTTTCAGAGGTGCCTAGAGACAACAGCCGTCTTTGAAGATTAATTTGTAGAGACGGCCGGAGTTGAAGCCGCCTCCAGATGTTATCTTCAGAGATAGAGCCGCCTCTATAAATTATCTAGTGTATAAGTAGCAGCCCCCACTTTTCCTCCTTGGGATTTTTACTGAGAAAGAGGGGCCTCGGGCTACCTCCAAAAAAGCAAATATAAGGGGGAAGATTTTCATCTTGATTCCTTTGGTGGAGGAGGCTTTAATAGGTAGGTAGATGCTAATCCAAACCACATTTTGAAGTTTTAGTGGTAGATTATTGTGTAATTATGGTTCTCATTCTCTCTCTTTCATGGTGGTTGAGGAATTTTTTGGTGCATATATATCAAATCTTTGAAGTTGATAGGGTAAATTTAGTAGGATAACAAGATTCTACCATCATTTAGCGGCCATGTCTTCATTTTAGTGGTCTATTTAGGGCATGTTTGGTAGAGATTCACCAGCTCTAGATCCATGAAAAATAGATCCAGCTCCACTTTTTTTTTGCCAAACGCTTCTAGCTCCACCACCTCCACCGTGGATCTGATCCACCAAAAAGGTGGATCTGACCCAAGATTCACCGAATTGGTGGAGCACCTCAGAGGTGCTTTACCAAATCCAAGTTTGGTGGAGTTGGGAGAAATTACCCATCATGCCACTGATTAGTAGAAAAACGGTTCATTCTATTTTTCTTTCTCTTTCTTGCGACTTTTTTTCCTTCCGTGCGAACGAGGAGCACCACCAGCCAGCAGCCGTGCTTGAGCCCCAGCCGCGCCCGCCAGGCAAGGCAGCGGCGCTCCTCCACCTCGCGCCCAAGCTACAGACGCACCCGCCGTCTCTCTAGCGAGGCAGCGGTGTTCCTCCACCCTGCGATTGAGCCCCAGCTGCGCCCGCCGTGTCTCTCCGGTGAACGGCCATGGCCACGCCTGCTGGGGCCGCACCCAGCCATGAGCTATGGTAGCGGTCGCGCCCCTCCACCCCACCATGCGTGCTCAGCCCCGCTCAGCGTGGAGTCTTCCTGGCCGCGTCTTTGATGTCGCAGCAGCGTCCTGGTCTGTCGGAAGTTCTTTCCCCATCGCGCGTGGTGGTCGGGACGAAGAAGAAGTTGACACGTGGGCTTGAGGTGGAAGTGAGATAGAGGAAATTGTGGAGTTGTGCCAAACACTTTGGTGAATCCCAGATGTATGGTGGAGCTGCTCCACGGTGGATTTAGGTGAATCCTAGATCCAGATTCACTTTTTCGCTTGGTGGAGCTCTACCAAACAGGCCCTTAATAGTTTTTATGAAGAGATGGTTTGCATCTAGATCTAGATCTTGGTCTAGGGTTTGGGATTAGCTTTTTATTGTTAACATTCATATTATTTTTTATTTAGTATATGGTATTAAGGTTTCATTAACAATAACATGTGAAATATTAATTGGTGCTAATTCATTTCTTAGTTAACAAAAGTAAAAAATACTACTTTAGTAATACATTATATTAGTTTGTTAACTAGGTTGTTTTAATCTCTTGCATGAAGAACATCATGAAAGAAGTTGAACAATATATATTATATCTATAAATTTAAATAAGAATGACCTTCCATAATTATATTATTACATGCTAATTATTATATTATTTTGGTTTATTAATTATTCTTATACCTAACTTTGTCTTTTTGTTTTTTGCTTTATTGATCTTTGTAGGAAATGATGGAGCACAAGAAGTCATGGATGTATGGTTCTTTAAGGTGGAAGACAAATTTCTGACAAGAAGTGGATGTATTTCTTGAAGGCGCAGAGAAGCATTCAATGGCGACAAAGAATAGAATCAAAATTCTTTGTTCGTGTAGCAATTGCAAGAATGGTATAGCATGGAATGATGTGACTATAATTAGGTCACACTTGATTGTGCGAGGTTTTGTAAAGGACTATACAGTTTGGATCCATCACGGTGAAACACCAATTATGATTGAGACACGAGACGTAGGAACTATAGCAGAAGAGCTTGATGCATTTATAGATGGGCTTGATGGAGAAGTAGCCCCTTGTAGTCGTGGGTGGGATGCTTGTCGTCGGTGATGGGATGCTAGGCAATGATGCTTCGCCACTGGTTCAGTGGTGATGCACTTGAAAATGCAAGGTAGGGTGGTAGGTGTTGGTATTTATTAACTTGTCACTTGTTTAAGTAGCCACCTAATGTTGTTGACATTTCTTAGCATAACTTTTACTAAGTTGTCATCCCTAGCTATGATGCCAGAAATGCTTGTTGGTACTACTTAGCATCACTACTAGAATGATACTAAAAAGTACTTCTAATATTTTATGTGACTATAAACAATATATATATGAAAAGGAATCTGCAAGGACACAGATAATTATACCATTATAGCACTTCACCCGGGAGTATTTCATGTATCATTATTTATATTTTTACCATAGGGAAGGATGGACAGTTGGAATATATTGATAACTTATACATATGATGGAGAGATAAATCATAACCATTACTCTACTCACAACAGGGGTAAGTCAAGAGATAAATATATATATGAATGGTAAGCAATAACTAATCCTTGATCACTCAGAGTACAACTTTCTATTGCATTACCTTGGCTAAGTAGAATATTAGAGGAATAATTCCTAAGTCATTCTTAATTACAAGTCAAAGCATACGTTGATTAGTGCAATTACACATAGTAGTCATGGTTAAGATCAACTTCATATCTACACATAAGGGATATTACTAAGGAAGATTAAGAACAGAGCTTGTCTTCCTTCGTAACTAGATCCTACTTGTCCTATATTCGGGGAGTGGACTACAAAGGACTCAACGGGAGTGTCACATCCGCGATCTACCACATGACCTGAAATATAGGGTTTATCTACAGGTAAACAACGTATAAGCACCACGCTTACACAATATCAACCACTCACCCCGGTACCTTGGAGTATGTGCTACATGAACTTATGCTTGAACATGATGATAATCTAACTATACTAAGCATATAATCAAAGTAGACGATAAACATGATAACTAGGAACATGAATAATATTAAGAATAATGTCAAATCAATTGTAGCAAACATATGAATAATGAAAGATACAAAAGAGGGTACAAGGGGCTATACCAAGCCACGCTCTTGACAAGATCTGGAATCCAAGCAAAGCTTGCCTTCCTCTAGACCTAGCATGGCTAGCGATGCCCTAAAATATGGTGGACCTCTGAGGATGATTAGGGTTTCTGTCTTCTCAAATGACTTGATCAGGGTTTGATTATTCAGGGAGGGGGCTAGGGGCTGGTATATATAGGCTGTAGGATCCATTTTGAGCCCTTGGATCAAACCGACCTAAATGAACGGCATAGATGCAAAACCTAAGGCGGTGGAGAACCGACATTCGAAGGAGGTGGC